ACCATTTCTGTCCTTTATTGAGCCCATCTTTGCATGAAATGTTCCCTTGGTATCTCTAATTTTCTTGAAGAGATCTCTAGTCTTTCCTATTCTATCGTTTTTCTCTATTTCTTTGCACTGATCACTGAGGAAGCCTTATTATCTTTCCTTGTTATTCTTTGAAACTCTGCAATCAAATGGGTATATCTTTCCTTTTCTCCTCTGCTTTTCACTTCTCATCTTTCCTCAGCTATTTTAAGGCCTACTCAGAGAATCGTTTTGCCTTTTTGCATTTCTTTTTCTTGGGGATGGTCTTGACCACTGCCTCCTGTACAAAGTCATGAAGCTCCATCCATAGTTCTTCAGGCACTCTGTCTGTCTATCAGATCTAATCCCTTGAATCTATTTGTCACTTCCACTGTATAATCTAAGGGATTTGATTTAGGTCCTACCTGAATGGTCTTAGTGCATGGGACCTTTTGAAGGAGACTGCCATTATCTTCATTACCTCCACCATAGTTTGGTCTCAGGTCAAATAACAGGGAGGGAACATAGCCCCACCCATTGACAGGAAATTGGATTAAAGATTTACTGAGCATGGCCCTGCCCAGCAGAACAAGACCCAGTTTCCCCCTCAGTCAGTCTCTCCCTTCAGGAAATTTCCATAAGCCTCTTATCCTTCTCCATCAGAGGGCAGACAGACTGAAAACCATAATCATAGAAAACTAACCAATCTGATCACATGGACCACATCCTTGTCTATCTCAATGAAACTATCAACCATGCTGTGTAGGGCTACCCAAGACGGATGGGTCATGGTGGAAGTTCTGACAAAACGTGGTCCCCTGGAGAAGGGAATGGCAAACCACTTCAGCAGTCTTGCCTTGAGAACCCCATGGACAGTATGAAAAGGCAAAAAGATAGGACACTGAAAGATGAACTCCCTAGGTTGGTAGCTGCCCAATATGCAACAGAATGATCTCTGTTCGTTTCCAAAGCAAACCATTCAATACCAGAGTAATCCAAGACTATACCCGACCAGTAATGCTGAAAAAGCTGAAGTTGACCAGTCCTACGAAGACCTACAAGACCCTCTAGGACTAACACCCAAAAACGATGTCCTTTTCATTATCGGGGACTGAAATGCAAAAGTAGGAAGTCAAGAAACACCCCGAGTAACAAGCAAATTTGGCCTTGGAGTACAGAATGAAGCAGGGCAAAAGCTAACAGAGTTTTGCCAAGCGAACGCACTGGTCATAGCAAACACACTCTTCCAACAACCCAAGAGAAGACTCTACACATGGACATCACCAGACAGTCAACACCAAAATCAGATTGACTATATTCTTTGCAGCCAAAAATGGAGAAGCTCTACACAGTCAGCAAAAACAAGACCAGGAGCTGACTTGTGGCTCGGATCCTGAACTCCTATTGACTTTAAAAATGCTCCACATCAAAAAAATCTTTAAAAAACCCTTTTTCCTAATTGGGTCCATTCAGAGGTATGCGGGGGGCGGCGATGTACCTTTTAGGGGAAGCACCTCCATTCAACCGGCCACAGAGCCCTGCCTCGGGGTGACGTCAGTAATTGTTGGACCCCGCCTTGCAGGAGGAATCCTCAGGATGTTACTGAACCCAAAGCCTGCCACAGCCCTGGGCTTATACTTCTGTGAAATGGAATTCCTTCTTGCTTTTGCCCAGGGTGAAGGTCAGCTCAGATGAAACCCTGTTTGTTTTTTAATTGAAATATAATTGCTCTACAGTGTTTTGTTAGTTTCTGCTGTACAACAACACGAATCAGCCATGTGAAGTGAAAGTCACTCAATTGTGTCCGACTCTGCGACCCCTGCGACCCCATGGACTGTACAGTCCATAGAATCCTCCAGGCCAGAGACTGGAGTGGGTAGCCTGTCCCCTCTCTAGCAGATCTTCCCGACCCAGGAATGGAACCGGGGTCTCCTGCATTGCTGGCGGATTCTTTACCAACTATTAGGGAAGCCATACACACACATATATCCCTCCCTCCACCCCCATCCCGCCCTCTGGGTCATCACAGAGCACCAAGCTGGGCTCCCTGTCTACACAGCGGCTTCCCACTAGCCATCTATTTTACAGATGGTCGTGTGCACATCAGTTCAGTTTAAACCTTTCATGTCCCGTGATCGGCAATCTAAACCATCACGACACAGCTCCCAAGCCCAGAGGGCAGCATGAAGGATGTGACCCCAGCCTGGTCTCCTGTGGCGAAGAGCCCACCCGAGCACCCCGTCCACCGCGGGTCCCAGGTCTGTGCACAACTTTGCCACCGTCTGCTCTCTGGGCTCCTTCTGCATGTTTGGGTTTTGTTTTGCCCCGTCTTGTTGTGGATCGGTTTTGATCATCTTCCGTCTGTCTGAAGGTTGTAGCTGGGTTTGTGAACCACCTCAAAGGCTTCAGAGTAGCAGCCAAGGGTGAAGCTGATGTGTGACTCAACGCTTGTGGTCTTCGGGGTTTCTCAGTTTCAGAAAGGAAGCGGATGTTGGTTGTGAAGGTTTGTGGTTAGCATCAGCCGTGAGCCGCAGGTTGCTTGCATGTACGTAACAGACAAATCTCCATGCGGTCAGAGGTTCTCATGGACATTTGGACCTATAACCCTCCCCCCAAAGAGTGGGCTGTGGATTCAGACTCTGAATTCCAACCCTTCTTCTTACTAACACAGCCCAATTTTTTTTTTTTTGAAAGCAGATAGTGGGGAGTTTGTGACTTTAAAAATCTGTTCTTTTCAGTTGATTTGCTTGCCAACAACCTTGGTGAAGCTGATGATTCCTCTTAATTTAAGCAGAAAGGACTTTTGCTTAAGGATTTTGAAAAGAACAGTGTGGCCAGCAGAAAAGTGGGTGCCCCCCAAGGTGTTCACATCCTAATCCACAGAACCTTCTACTTTATAGGGCAAAGGGGGAGCGAGGTGGATGATGGGGTCAAGTTCCTAACAGCTGACTTCAAAGGAGGAAGACGATCCTGGATTGTCTGGATGAGCCAAGCGGTATCAAGAAGCCCTTAAAAAACGAAAGAAGGGACTTCCCTGGTGGTCCAGTGCCTCCATAGCGGGGGCTGTGGGTTCAAGCCCAGGTCGGGGAACTAAGATCCTGCCTGCCACGGAGCAACCACAGCAGACAGCCTTCACTCCTGAATGAAAGAGGCCAACACAACCAAATAATTTTTTCATTTTAATCCCGTTGTCTTTCAAAAAAAAAAAAAAGGAGTGAGTGTCCAGGTACAGCCCACACAGTGAGAAGACAGTGGGCAGAGACGGGGAGGTGGGGCCGGTCACCCCACACCAGTCCTCTGGCCATTGTCCACCCAACGGGAACAGAAGCAACACCCGCCGTGTCCACGGAGCATTGGGGCGTCTTCGGCTACTCCTCCCACCCACCCCCTCGGCACTGATGGCGTTTGGGACAGGGTCCTTCTCTGCCCTTCTGCGCATCGTAGGATGTGGCCTCCACAGTTCTCCCAAGTATTAAACATTTTAACGTTAAGACACGTTTTACCTCGATTACTGAGCTCCGTGGGGGCCTCCCCACCCTGTGCCCAAGCGGAGCGTCAGCCCCGCTTCTAAGTCAGAAGGCGCCCAGACCTCAAGGGCTGTCACCACGTGAAAGGAGGAACCCCTTTCACGAAAGGGCCCCTTTCATCTCCAAAAGTCTGAACTTCTGAGCTGCTTACTGCCCTGGCGGTAGTTAAGTCAACAGCCCATTCTCTAAATGTAATAAATACAAGTTCTTTCGGGCCAGCTCCTTAGCACTGCCCCCGCCACACACACACACACACATAAAGGAAGAAAATGAAACCTATGACTCAGTTACAGTTTTGCTTTTCTTTAATCAAAGAGCAAGCTGGAGAGTCTGTGATTGAAGCTCCCACAGGAACTGCAGTGATGGCCATGGTCCCGGGCCTCCGGGCTCCTCAGCGGTTCCTCCCTGCCCGCCCCCATCCCGGGATGCCGCCAGTGTGATATGGAGACAACAGGGTCTGTTCCTGAGGGGGCGTCTCCAGCACCTCGCCAGGGTGCAGCACGCGGCAGGGCCTCAGTAAATAGCCACTGGCAAGGAAGGTGACGAGCCAGGGGAAACTCGTCCCCATGTGATGAGGTAGTCCAGTGAATGGCTGGGGAAGCCAAGGCTGAGAGAGGAGACTGGAGGTCACACAGTCACACGAGGACCACGAACCCACTCAAGCGGCGTCAGGCAAACCTGCCCACGGGCCATCCGGCCTCAGGCATGGTCCCCACCAGAGGCAGGTGACACCGCCCCCAAAACTCCTGGTGTGGACTCCCAAAGGAGGCGTCCACTGGCCCACCTCACCTGTTGGCAGCAGGGCACTCTGTGCCAGCCAGCCCCGGGCCAGGTGCTCACCTGGGGGCCGATCCACTGCAGCCAGAAAAGAGGCAATGCCACCACCTAGAGGGAGAAGCAGGCACGGCAGTCAGCACCCTTGGACAATTTGTTGTTCACTCACTCACTCGTGTCTGACTCTGCGGCCCCACGGACTGCAGCGCGCCAGGCTTCCCATCCTTCACTGTCTCCAAGAGTTTGCTCAAACTCATGTCCGTTGAGTCGGTGATGCCATCCAACCATCCCATCCTCTGTCATCCCCTTCTCCTCCTGCCTTCCATCTTTCCCAGCATCAAGGTCTTTTCCAATGAGACAGTTCTTCACATCAGGTGGCCAAAGTGCTGGAGCTTCAGCTTCATCGTCAGTCCTTCCAATGAATATTCAGGGTTTATTTCCTTTAGAATGGACTGGTTGACTCTCAAGAGTCTTCTCCAGCATCACAGTTCGAAAGACTCGGTGCTCAGCCTTCTTTATGGACCAACTCTCACATCCAAACATGACTACTGGGAAACCCATAGTTCTGACTAGCCGGGCCCTTGTCAATACTGCCACCTGGTGGATGCTGCAGGCAGGACACCTAGGTTTGGTTGCTTGCCGGCCACAGGAGTGGCTCTGCCTCGCCGGTGGCTTCCTTGCCTGTTCCAGCAGTTATTTGGGGAGCGGCTGTCCCCTCTCATGGGACATCTCCAAGCCCACCAGGCGGGCACTTTCAGCCCAAAGCCTCTTGGCCACTTCCTCATCCTCAGCTTCCGGGGCCGGAGCCTTCTCTTTGAGTACATCAAAGTACTTTCCAGAAACACCCTCCAGCTCCTCCGCCACGGCCAGGTAGACGCTGGGCTGGGCCGCCAGCTGGGGGCTCTTGACCAGCAGCCAGAAGATGGGCCCTGCAGTGAGTCCACAGAGAGTTCAGTCCAGACATTCAGAGAGGAAGGCACAGAAAGCCCACCTCACCCCAGGTTGCTCAGGGCCCACGGAAGCCAGAAGGGTCCCTGGAGTCCCACGGCGCTCACCTGCAGGCCTCTGCCCCTCTGGTTCCTTACACAGGAGCTCCCTTCCCTGGCACTGCTCAGACAAATCAGCTCCAGATGCAGGAACAAGCCTGAAAGCTGCCTCCTCCAGGAAGCCCCCCTCACTTTTCCCAGGCAAATGGAAGGTCCAAGTCCTCACCCCACCCGATCTCTCTTTTTGTTTTGTTTTCGGCTGCGCCGTGCGTGGCATGGGAAACTTAGCTCCCCAACCAGGAACTGAACCTGTGGCCCCTGCAGTGGAGGCACAGAGTCTTAACTACTGGACCACGAAGGAAGTACCCCCACCACCCCAATCTGTCTTTAAACTGACTTTTGTATATTGTCTCCAGTGCCAGCCTCAGCTTAAGATTCTTGATACCTAGCTGCCACCAACTGAGATGTTTGCCAGGATAACAAACACTAGTTATAAAGCTCTCACCATTTATTCAGCCTAAATCTATGCTGGCCCTTTTCAGGGTGGTCTCATCTAGTCCTCCCGACTGTGAGACAGGTACTACTATGAGCCTTACTTAGCAGATAAGGAAATAGGGATTTGGAAAGAAGTCTCTTCCCTGGGTGGCCCAGCCAGTTTGGGATGAAACTAGAGCTATCCCACGCATGGCTGGACTCCAGGCAGTCAGCCCCATGACCTCCTCCTCTGAAACATGTTTCTCATCAATCACTGGAAGGACTGACACTGAAGCTGAAGCCCCAATAATCTGGCCACCTGAGGTGAAGAGCCAACTCATTAGAAAAGACTCTGATGCTGGGAAAGACTGAAGGCAGGAGGAGAAGGGGGCAACAGAGGATGAGGTGTTTGGATGGCACCACTGACTCGATGGACAGGGGTTTGAGCAAACTCTGGGAGCTGGTAATAGACAGGGAAGCCTGGAGTGCTGCCGTCCATGGGAACACAAAGGGTCGGACAAGACTGAGCGACTGAACAACACAAGGCTCTGGCCTGTTTCCCAGGGTGTTCTGAGGCTGGCAGGCTGGGCAGACACATGAAAGTGAGCTGGTACCAGGGAAGAAACAGGGGAAAGCAGAAAAAGCCCCTGAGATAGACTCCGAGTGTGATGTTAATTTTATGTCTGGGGATCTTCCCTGATGGCGCAGTGGTTAACACTTGGAGCTGCCAATGCAGGCGGCACAGGTCCCATTCCTGGTCAGGAAACTAAGACCCACGTGCAAAGCAGCCAAAAGGTAAAAGAGAGAGAAAATGTATGTGTGAACTTATTGAGCTACGAGATGCCCAAAGAGCAGGGAGAATACTGTTTCCGGGGTGTCTGTGAGGGTGTGTGTAAAGACTGTGAAATCCACCCTCCCAAGGTGGGCGGGCACTGGGAAGTTAACTGGTGGGACGCTGAGCCCGGACGTCCACCCCCTTGGCTTTTCAAGTCAGCCTGGGACTTACACCAGCGGTTCCCCTGGTCCTCGGGCCTTCGGGTTTGGGCTGGAAGTGCAGGGCCAGCATTCCTAGGCCTCCGACATACAAGGCAGGTCCTGGGACTTCTTGGCCCCCACACATGCATGAGCCAAACCCTCCTAGTCAATCTCTCTAAATACCCCTGTATATCCTATTGGTTCAGTTTCCCTGGAAAACCCTCATACACTGAGGGAGGGCCCTGGGCCCCAAGCTGGGAGGACAGGGGTTCAGGTAAGGGACCCCAGGCCAGGAGGGGACTTACCGAGTGTGAAGCTGGAGAAGGCGGAGCTGTGCATGCCCGTGTGTCTGCCCAGCTCTGTCCTGGCCACGCCAGGATGCAAGGCGTTGACAGTCACGCCCGTGCCTGGGACAGAGGGAAGAGTGAGGCAAAGACGGCAGGTCCACCCCTCACCCGGAAGGCTGACGCTGTCCGCCCTGGAATCTAGGACTCCCCCGAGCCTACATCACCCTCCTGCTCTGGAACCTTCACATCCGTGCTTTTATCTTGCATGGCAGCTGTCTCACAGCTGCCCAAAGCAAAGCCTCTGAACCTGAGTGTGTAAACATCACCTGGAGGGCTGGAGAAGCCCAGACCACTAGGATCCACACCCAGACTCTGAAGCAGTGGTCGGGGAGGGGTCTGAGATGCTGCAATTATGACAAGTGCTCAGGTGAGCCCACGCTGCCAGTCCACAGACCCTCTTTGAGAAGCAAGGGCAAAGGGCAGGCTCTTCAGCTTTGGCACTATGGATGCTGAGCTGGGATATTCTTTATCCTGTGCATTGCAGGATGTTGAGCACCACCCCTGGCCCCTGCCCACGAGATGCCTGGAACATCTCCCAACCCACCCCTCTTCCCCAGACGACAGCCAAAAACATCTCCAGATACTGCCAAAGCCCCACTGGCCTAGAACAGCAAAGGCTCGGGTGCCTGCATGGGATGAGCAGAGGAGAGTGCAGTGATCAATTAGTGATGCCTGCTTCGGGCACCAGCGGGGAGCTGATAGGACGGGTGTCATGATGGCCTGCTGTCCTGGAGCCACTGCTTGGCCTCCCATCCACCCAGGGCCACGGCAGGACCGTTTCAAGCTCGGAGCCAATGGAGGGGAGCCCCGCGAGGCTCGGCCACGCGCACCCTGCAGCCGCCGGCTCAGCTCCTTGGTGGAGAGGACAACGGCCAGCTTGCTCTGGCAGTAGGCCGCCTTCGTGTCGTACTTCCTCTGCTCCCAGTTCAAGTCCCCGAAGTCTATGTGCCCAGCAACGTGGGCCAAGGACGAGACGTTGATGATGCGCGAAGGGGCGGAGGCTTTCAGCTTATCCAGCAGCAAGTTCGTCAAGAGAAAGTGGCCTGGAAGAAGGGACACAGAGAGAGAGCTCTTCCTGAATTCTTGACCCGGGCGTAGGACCCTACTGAGAACATCATCACCTTACTGCCTCCTTCCATAACCTGTTTCTCAGCAAGGTCCCCCCTGCCCTCCAGGGGGGCATTTGGCAAAGTCTGGAGGCGATCTTGATCATCACGGCTGTGGACCGTACAAGGAGTGCTACTGCAACCTAAGGGGTGGAGGCCAGGGATGCGGCTAGAAATCCCCCAGTGCAGGAGTCGTCTGGGGGCCTCGCAGTTAGGATGCTGGGATCTCACTGGGGCAGCCTGGGTGCAATCCTGACCCGGTAAACTGAGATCCTACAAGTCCTGTGGTGCACCTAAAATAAAAAATGCTGCAATGCACAAGACAGTCCCCACAACTAATTATCACAAAGTCCTGTGATAACCCTCTATGAGGGCCGTCTGTCTCTCAAAATCCTCTCTCCGTTTCTTTCCCAGTGATAGAATTTTGGGTTACCCGTGAGACTGCCCAGTAAAAGACGACATTTCCCAGTCTCCCTTGCAGCTCCACCAGGTCACATAACTGAGTCCCAGCCAGTAGCGGAGGAAGATAGTCACACATGTTACGGGTGGACTGTGCGTGCTTAAGTTGCTCATTCCCTTTTCCAAGGGCTCTTCCCCACCCAGGGATCGAACCCGGGTCTCCTGCACTGCAGGGAGATATTTTACCACCTGAACCACCAGGGAAGCCATGTCACCCCCCAAGTACCCCTAAAAAAAAAGTCCTACCCTCCAGTACCTTGGAGTGTGACCTTATTTGGAGAGAGGGTCTACAGAAAGGTGATAAAGTTTAAACGACCTCATTAGGGTAGCCCCTAATCCCATATGACTGATGTCTACCCGATGTCCCTCAGCCCTGCTGATGGGCTCGGAGTGACAACAGACAAACTGACACAGCAAGTGAAGGACAGACAGACAAAGGGACAAGAGGCCAAGAGCCTGATGAAAGGTCCGAAGGACTGAAGGTCCAGCCGTGAACAGGGGGCTCCCCGAGCTGCCAGGTGACCCCACGCACGGCCGCCTTGGAGAGTGGAGGAAGACCCCTCCCGGAGCCTGCATCTGGTCCAGGGGGGCCCTCACCCACATCCCGGGCCGATGCCACTCAGCCCGCAGCCTCACCCAGATAGTTAACGCCAAGCTGCATCTCAAAGCCGTCCTCGGTGGTCCAGTGGGGGCACCGCATCACAGCCGCGTTGTTGATCAGGATGTGAACATGCTCCTCCTCTGGAAAACAGGGGTGAGGACAAACGGGACTCAGTTTCCCCCTCTGTGAAATGGGTAACAGAACCTGCCAGGTAGGATGGCTTCATCCACTCAAAAAGTACTTTCTGCAACTTAAGTGTCCATCGACAGGGGAATGGATAAAGAAGACATAGTGCAATGGAATATTATTCGGCCATAAAAAAGAATGAAACAATGCCATTTGAAGCAACAGGGACGGACCTAGAGGTCATCATACTAGGTGAAGTGAGCCAGAGAAAGGCAAAATTATGTATCACTTAAATGCTGTTACTGTTCAGTCACTAAGTTTGCATCCAACTCGGCGACCACATGGACTGCAGCACGCCAGGCTTCCCTGTCCTTCACTATCTCCCAGAGTTTGCTCAGACTCATGTCCATTGAGCCAATGATGTCATCCAACCATCTCATCCTCTCACTTAAAAATGGAATCTTAAAAAAAAGGATACTAATGACTTCATTTACAAAACAGAAATAGACTCACAGACATCGAAAACTTATGGTTACCAAGGTGCAGGGGGAGGGGTTAATTAGGAATCTGGGATTAACATATACCCGCTACTATATATAAAATAGATAACCAACAAAGACCTACTGTATGGCACGGGGAACTATACTCAATACCTTGTAATACTCTAGAATAGAAAAGAATCTCTTAAAAAATATATATTTTTGTGCACATTCATGTGTGTATGTAAGTAAATCAGAGCTCAAGCTTGCTGTAGACCTGAAACTAACAAAACACTGTAAGTCAATTATATTTCAATAAAAATTTAAACACACACAGGAATTCCCTGGCGTCCAGTAGTTAGGACTCCACGCTTCCACAGCAAGGCTCATGGATTCAATCCCTGGTCGGGAACTAAGATCCTGCAAGACCCACAGTGGCAGGGAAAGAAACAAACATACACAAGACAGCCACACAATAAAAGGAAAAAGTTCCGCCCACACTGATCTCCCGGGGAGAACTGGGGACAAACAGCAGGGGCAGGACCGGCTGTGTAACAGGCTGCGGTTTATACAAAAGACCCACAGGCAGGTGTGTCCCCCGCTGGCTTTATGCACGCAGAAACGGTCCCCAGAGGACACGCAGCGGGGGAAGCAGTGAACCCATCTGAGGACAGCATCCAGGGAGCAGTGGCGGGTGCGCCAGGAAGATGTTCTCCTGTATCCCCGTTTGCACTTTCTGAACATTTAAGCTTGCAAATGTTATTCCTGTTCGGAAAATAGATAAATATGTAAGCAGTTCCGAGACCATGTGGCGAGCATCAGGAAGAGTGAGTCAGCCATCAGGGAGATGGAAGTGCAAAGAAACGCCAGCCTGATTTCTGGATCTGCAGCAGGAAACGCCCAGCGGAAAAGGTGGGCGTTTCTGGGTGCTCCGCATCGTGCCTGCAGGTCCCCTCTGAGTCACCTGTCCTCACGGCCAACACGGCCCGGTCGCTCCAGAGACAGAGCCTGAATCTGACTCACGTCTGTGTCCCCGGAGCCACCCCAGCGCCAGATAGCCTGAGCAAACAGTGGGTGACTCGGTGTCTCTGCCCTTCTCCCGGTTAACTCTTCCTCTGCCTCCCTACACATCAAATCCGTTCCTGGCCTCTGCTTCTCCCAGGAGCCCAGCTCAGACAGAAGGACTTGGGTTTCCTGGAGAGTGGGACTCAGTAACCTTCTTCTGTAAGGGGCCAGGCAGCAAATACCTTCGGTTTTGCAGGCAATTTGGTCTGTCTCCACTGAGCTCTGCCCTCGCAGGACTAAAGCAGCCACAGACAAAATGGAAACTGATGGGCCCAGCTGTGTGTCAAATAAACTTTACAGAGATGATTTTGTTGTCGTTGAGTCACTCAGTCCTGTCCGACTCTTTGCAACCCAATGGACTATAGCCCGCCAGGCTCCTCTGTCCATGGGATTCTCCAGGCAACAATACTGGAATGGGTTGCCATTCCCTTCTCCAGCAGATCTTCCTAACCCAGGGACTGAACTCACGTCTCCTGCATTGACAGGCAGGTTCTTTACCACTGAGCCAAGAGGGAAGACCCTTTATGGAGATACGTGTACACATATAGCTGATTCACATTCTTCTACAGCAGAAACACAACACTGTAAACAATCATACTCCAGTTTAAAAAAAAAAAAACCTTTAGGGAAACTAAAATCTGCATTCCAGGAATTCCCTGGCGATCCAGGAGTTAGGACTCTGTGCTTTCACTGCCCAGAGCGCAGGTTCAATCTGTGGCCTGGGAACTAACATCCTAAAACCCATGCAGTGTGGCCAAAAAAAAAACAAACACAATCTGAATTCCATATAATAGTCATATGTCGTGAAATGTTATTCTTTGATTTGCTTTCCCACATGTAAAAATGGCAAATATGTAAACATGAAAATGTCAAAAAGAAAAAAATGTAAAATCTGCACCCAAAGACTGAACAAAAACAGCCAGTGACCAACACTCAGCTCTAGGACCTGCCTGGTGCGACCCCTCCTCACTGCCCGGCTGCTCAAGCCCTCCCTCGCAAGGCCAGCGGCCGCTCTCCTACCTTCAGTGACCTTCGCCGCAAACTCTCGGATGGACTTAAGGGAGGCCAAGTCCAGGTGCCGGGCATTGACGCGGTGATTCAGGGTCTCCCCTCGGATCTCCTTGGCCGCCGCTTCGCACTTCTCCATGTCTCGACAGGCGAGAATGATGTTGCCTCCTGGAAGACCCAGACGAGAAAAAAAATTTTTTAATAAACATAAAAAGGATCCACTCCTAAGTGTACGTACCCAAGATAAATGAAAACATAAGTCCATACAAAACTATGTACTCACACGTACACAGTGGTACTATTCACAGCAGCCAGAGGTAGAAACGCCCCAAATGTCCATCGAGGGAAGAATGAACGTGGAGGTGGAGGGATAAATTGGGAGTTTGGGACTAACATATACACACGACTGTATATAAAAGAGATAACCAACAAGGACCTACTGGAGGCTGCAGGGAATGCTGATCAATATTCTGTAATGAGCTAAATAGGACATAATTTGAAAAAGAATAGATACATGTGTATGTAAAACAGAATCACTTTGCGGCACAACTGAAGCTAACACAAAATCAACTATACTCCAATATTTTTTAAAAAATTATTAAGGGATACATGAATAAGGGAAACATGGTCTATCCATCAGTGGAATATTACTCAGCCATGAAAAGGAAGGAAATCGCAAAACATCCAGACCTTGGATGAGCCTCACACACATGAGGCTCACTCACTCAAAGAAAGCAGACATAAAAGGGCAGTGTATGATCCCAGAAGAGGCAAATCCACAGAAGGAAGATCAGTGGTTTCCTAGCTTTGCAGAGGATGGGAAATTAAGAGGGTGATGGCTTAGAGGACCCAGGTTTTATTTTGGGGGTGATGAAAAATGTTCTACAATGGAGAGCAGTAATGGTTGCACATTTCTGTGAATATACTAAAAATCACATAAGTGTATATTTTAAACATGTGAATTAAATCCTAATACAGCTGTTAAAAAAAATTTTTTTTTCAAATTAAAAAAGTGAGAAGGAACAGGGACTGAGAGAAGGATGGGCAACAACAATGCTGACTGTAGGGGTCTCTGGGGCTCCCCTGGGGTGGACCAGCCACCTCACACACCGGCTGCCCCATCACAGTCCAGGGCACAGTTCGTCAAGTCCGGGCTCCTCCGTCCTCGCAGGGCCAGCCCAGCCCTTGGACGGCGGTGTGTGTGTCGGCCCAAGTTCCGGTCTCGCCTGGTCCTGAAAGGAACACCTGCCCCTCCCTTGGGGAAACGCCGTGTGATGAGGCGCAGGGGCAGAGGACCGCCCATCATGGCCCCCATCACTGACCTTGGGGCGAACATGCAGCTCGGGCCTGGCTGATCCAGCAGGGACCCACCACAACTCAACCCCCAAGGAGAGGTCCCAGCCTCCCCCAGCCCTCATGCCTGCCCCGGCCTCTCCCTCCCAACTCTGGTCCAGCTGTTCAAACAAAACCGGGACGCCTCCCTCTCTCCTACCTGTCCCCTCAGAAACCCCACCGATTCTAAATTCAAGAGAGCTCTGTGGGGAACCCCCTGGCAGTCCTGTGGTTAGGAATCCGAGCTTCCGTTGCAAGGGGCACGGGTTTGATCCCTGGTCAGGGAACTAAGATCCTGCATGCCACACAGTGGGGCCAAAAATATATAAATTTTTAAAAGAGAGAGATCTGGACCGCGACAAGATGGCGAAACTGCCGGGCGCAATTAAGGGGCTGTACCCCGAAACACTGAGCCCAGAGCAGCTGGAGAAGCTGCACGGCTTCAAGATTCAAACTCGGATTACTAATGAGAAGTACCTTAGGACCCACAAAGAAGTGGCGTTGCTCATAAGTGGTTTCTTCAGAGATATGTTTTTGAAAAGACCAGACGACATTCAAGAATTTGCCGCAGACTATTTCACGGATCCAAGACTTCCCAACAAGATTCACATGCAGCTAATTAAGGAGAAGAAAGCGGCTTAATTAGCAAAATCACGATGCTCAGCTGTTGAGAGAGACCAGAAAGAATCCAGCCTCTGGGTCATCTGAAAGCCAGAGAGCTCTGTTGCCCTCAGTGTGGGTTTCCAGGCTGCCCTGGGCTGCGCCTGCTGTTGCAAAGGCTTTTAAAGAAACTCATTAAAAGCAGACCTTCCTGTGCGAAAAATAAAAAATAAAAAAATAAATAAAAGAGAGAGATCTGTGTGCTGAGGAGGACACGTCTCCATAAGCCCACTCTGACCATGAGAAAAACATCAAACAGACTCAAACTGAAGAGGGAATTCTATTAAAGACCTGATCAGTAAGCTTGGAAGAGCCGGAAGTCTTATTCCCAACCTCTGACCCAGGCCCCGACCCAGTCAATGGGAGTGAGTCCAACTAGCATAGGAGACGGTGAGGCTGATACAGAGAAAAACCCAAACCGGAAACTGCTGAGTGTCCACGGGCTCCTCTGAGCCCCTGGACCCACCCACCCCCTTCCAGGAACACCAGGCTCTGGGGCTTAAGCCAGCCTGCGTTTGTTTCTGCCACTTGCAAAACCGAAAGAATCAGAAGCCTTAACACCCCCAGGGAAATCCCACCATCCACCCCCAGGTCTTAACACCAGATCTTAACATCCCCAGGGGAATCCCATCGTCCACCACCAGATCTCACGCCTGAGCCCTGGGCAGAGAAGCAGGTGCCCACCTCTTTTGGCCAGCTCCAGGGCGGTCTGCTTCCCGATGCCCGTGTTGGCACCAGTCACTATGACGGTCTTCCCAGGAATGGTGGCCTTGCTGGGACAAGCCCCGCCGGAGACAAAATCCCTGGAGGTAGGAAACGGGAGGTCAGTTCCATCTGTCTGTCCACTCTCACCGCAGGGACCCCTGACAGTTACGATCTCAGGCAAGGGACCGCTCTGAGCTTGTGTTCCCCCAGCGTAAAGATGGGAACAACAAACATCACACAACCCAAGGGAGCCCTGTGGTTACTCAACATCACCTGGTGTGGGGGAGCCTCCTCGTCATAACCATCGTTAGCTGATAAAGACCCCTGTGTTCGACCCCTCCGGCTATTGTAACATGTCACTAGGAGCTCAGTGGGTGAAAACCACACAGTGGTGTTTCCCTAGAGTCTGCGGGTCAGAGTCCGAGACAGGTCTCACAGGCTAAAACCGAGATGTCGCCAGCGCTGTGTTCCTGGAGGCGCGAGGGAGAATTGAGAATTGTTCCCGAGCCTTTTCCAGATTCTAAGGGCCGCCTGCATCCCTGGGCTCATGGCCCCATCCCCCGCCTTCAAAGTCAGCAACACAGCAGCGTCAAGTCCCCGGCTCTGTTCTCCCGCCTCCCTCTTGTGAGTACCGTTGTGACAACACTGGGGCCACCTGGTGATCATCTCACATCATGGAGGTCCTCAGTGACATCTGCAGAGTCCCCTTGGACAGGTAAGGAAACCGTCATAGGTTCTGGGCATTAGGATGTGCCCAGAAGAGAGGGCAGGAGGGCCTTATTCTGCGACTGTGTCCATACTCCAGAGGCTAAATAGTGGAAACTAAATGTCACCAACAGGAAGCTGGCCAGAGAAACAGTGTCCTCTCCAGACAAGAGGGTCATTTTTAATTAAAAATAAATAGTCATATTCCCCATCCCCAGCCAGGGCATTCAGCTTTCTTTTATTCTTCCCAAGCTGGTATTTTTTATTAGTATTATTTTTAAGCTTTTTCAGAACTAACAGACATCAGCACGAATAAAAATAAAAACAGCAGCTGACGAATTTTTTGGCCATGCCTTCTGCTTTGAGGGTTCTTACTTCCCCAACCAAGGACTGAACACAGGCCCCAGCAGAGGAAGCGCCAAGTCCTAACCCCCAGACCACCAGGAAATTTCCCGATGATTTCTATTATAAGGAAAAATTATTTCCATTTCCTAGAGCCCTCAAAAAAAAGGTGGTTAATATTTACAATTCAGTTTACAAAAAACAAGATACCAGCAGGCTACACAAAAAAGACTTTATTGGATCAGGAAGAACAAATGAAGCCTCATCACAGAGCAGATGAACAAGCCCAAATGTATTTATTCAAAGAGATTGACAGTCAGTCTATCCTTCAACCCCTTATGAGAGAGAAAAAAAAGATACTTTAATAGTGCAATCACTTTCTGGCCTAAGTCCCAGCTAAATCTTGAGTAACTGTAATAAAATACATATTGCTAATCCTGAACACTTAACATGAGGTCTACCATCTTAACAAATTTTTAAGTGTACAGTATAATACTGTTACTACAAGCATAACACGATTATATTTTTAGGTGCTCAGTAGTCACACCGCATGGCTTGTAATAGCCAGGGCGAATGTAAAAGATTTCCATCTTCACAGAAAGTTCTACTGAATGGTACTGCTATGGAATATTTGGCTGCTGTATTGTAGTTTGGAGTGGGGGGGATTTTTATATTGAAGAATAGTTGATATACATTATATACAGTACAGGTGTACAACATAGTGCTTTACAATATTTAAAGGTTATATTCCATTTATATCAATTATAAAAAATTTGCTAAGTTCCCCTGGTTGTACAATATATCCTTGTACTTTATTTTATAACTAATAGTTTGTACCTCTTAGACCCCTGTCTTGTTTTTATTAAGTGAATTAGCCAAGGAACCACAGGAAAGAACTGTCGTATGTGCTCGTTTGTGTATATCCCACGCAATAACGATCTTTTCACTGACTGAATTGGACATTTGTTTCCCTGATTCCGGACAATGACAGCTTAAGTGACATACACGTTCCTTGCATCTGGGCCAGGACGTGACATATGGGAGGTGCTCAGTAGGTAGCTGCCGAACGAATTAATTAATCTATTAAAAGTCCGGAAGCAAGTAGACCAAAATGTTTACCGGGGCCCGGATCCGCCCCTTTCTCTGGCCGACCTTGGGCCGTGACCTGCCCGCTCGGGGCCCAGGCTTGTCCCCGCATTCTCTGGGAGCACTGCTGGATGAGTGGATAGGAGGACTCCCAGGTGGGCGAGGAGCTGGTGATCTCCACCCAGCCCTCCCTCCCTGTCCAAGCCCACCGGCCCGCCGTTACCGCGCCTGAGAGACCCGCGCGAACTCACTTGAGCAGCACGGCGCCGCCCACGGCCGTGCCCAGCACGGACAGCGGCAGAACGTAGCGGCTCATGCCTGGCCAGAGTGGGAGTCTGACTGCAGCCGCCCGCACTCCCGCGCCCGGCGTGAGCCCCAGGAGCGCGCCGCCCGGGCCCCACGTGCGGAAGGGCGCACGCCGCCGGAACCCCGCGATTCCGGAAGGGGCGGGGCGGGGCCCAAGTGACGGACTGCGAGCGCAGCTGCTGCTGGGAATGGTAGTCTCTAGAGCCGGGGCGTGGCCGGGGCCTCGGGGGCGGAGCCTACACGCGGTTCCAATGACGTCACACTCGCTCAGCTTCAAAGTCCGACCCAGGAGCCCAGGGGCCGCTGTCCTTCGGGACCTGGGTCCTCTGTGTGTCTTTCAAATGGATCAGCCTGTTTCCTCATCTAAAAATACGTGTGCCTTACGAACTAGCTATGTATAAAACAAAACAGCTCCGAGACTATATTGTACAGCACAGGGACGACAGCCAGTATGTCATAAAAACTTTAAACCGAATATAACCCATAAAAAATTTGAATCACTGTGTTGTACACCTGAAACTAATGTAGTACTGAAAATCAAGTATACCTCAATAAAAACATAAATAAGTAGCATAAATATACGAGTTATTTGTCCACTTTCTGGGACAATTTGATAAATTCAATGCCCAGATCCAAGACCTACAAGCCTAGGAGGTTCCCAGATTCCTGGAGTACTGAGTGAGGAGGTCATGGGGGCGTAAACTATTTCCGAATAAGATCGTATTCCGAGGTCTACTACACATTAGGATTTCAATATATAAATTTGTGGAGGTAGAAGGGAGAGGCAATTCAACTCATCCCACTTAATCAAAATAATCAAAAGTGGGAAGCAATCCAATTTGTAATAGATATGTCCATCAACAGTTAAAGGAATAAGTTATTTATAGTAAATTCAGACAATGGAAAGAAAGTGAAAGTGAAGTCCCTCAGTCATATGGGACTCTTTGCAATCTGTGGACTGCAGCCTACAAGGCTCCTCCATCCTTGGGATTCTCCAAGCAAGAATACTGGAGTGGGTTGCCATTTCCTTCTCCTTAGACAATGGACTTCCTTAATAAAAAGGAATGATCTACTGGTATTTGTACAATATGTATGATTCCAGTTACATGACAGTCTAGGTGAGAGAATGAAGACCAGTGGTTACCAAGGGTCGAGGGGGTGAGGGAAGTGATTACTGCAAAGGGAACCTTTGGGGAGTTTTGGAAAGAGTATATCGATTACACAGGAATTTATACACATGATAGCATACATTCGTCAAGTCTCATCAGTATATTCACTGAATTTCATTGCATGTAAGATGCTTCCCAAGTGGCGCTAGTGGTAAAGAACCCGCCTGCCAGTGCAGGAGATGTAAGAGGCACGGGTTCAACCCCTGGGTCAGGAAGGTCCCCTGGAGGAGGAAGTGGCAACCCACTCCAGGATTCTTGCCTGGAGAATCCCATGGACAGAGGAGCCTGGCGGGTTACAGTTCATGGGGTTGTGAAGAGTTGGACACGACTGAAGCAATTTAGCACCCATGCAGTGCATGTAAATTATACTGCAATAAAACTGATGAAAAAGCAAAAAAAAAAAAAAAACTACAAAGATTTTCATAATTTAGTTTCAAAAATTATATCACCCAAGTAACTCTGAGTTCTGATTGGATTGAGTTTGTCAATAATCCACAGACACACTTTAGAATACTTTCAAAATGACAAATAGCTGATTAATAAATTGTTTCCAAATGTCCCAAGAACTTTTTTTTCCTTTTCCTTTTTTTGTTAACAAGACAAAACATGCCTATAGCTAAAATTGGTGAGTTGGGGTAGGACGTGGCAGAAATGTGCATGGCTGGAGATGAGAGGCTCGGGGGGTCAATTGAGCACTCAGGATGGAGGAGCCAGAGGTCAGCAGTCTTGTAGGTGGGGGGCCCTACCCCCAACAAAAGCAGGAACTCTTGGGAACAGGATGAAAGCACCTGGACAGAAAACTCCAGGTTGGTCTCTGAGATGGGGATGTCCAGGGTGGAGAAAGATCTAGAAACTCTGAAGCATCACCTTTTGGCTCCAGTATGACACAGAGGGCTGACGTGACTTGCAGGTCCGGGACAGCAGAACTAACAGTGAGTCATGAAAACCCTCCTGGACACAGGAAACACAACAGGGCATCCAAAGAAAACACATTGGCCAGCATCCAGGATCTGTGATTGGAGATTCAGGCTAGGAGTGAGGGAAGACTTCCTAGAGGAGGCAACACCTAAATAGGGTTTTGAAGGATGACTAGGAGTTCTTCAAGTGGACTGACTGGAGTCATGAGAAGTTATGAGGCAAGTTGCTTGGGATGGTAGGAGGTTTGACTTGAAGTGGTAGGCAGCTGGCAAGAGATGTGGCTGAAGAGAAGATTTTTTTCAAAAAGGCAATAATGCCAGCTTTTGTTTATTAAGTGTGGGCTTCCCTGGTGGCACAGTGGTAAAGAATCCACCTGCAATACAGGAGACACAAGAGACGTGAGTTTGATCCCTGGGTGGAGAAGACTCCCTGGGTAAAGAAATGACAACCCACTCCAGTTTTCTTGCCTGGAGAATTACACGGACTAGCTGGCTACAGTCCATGGGGTCGCAGAGAATCAAACACAAGTGAGCAGCTATGTACAGCATGCGGCATAGTGCTGTTGATCGAGTGTCTAGTCTGTGCCAAATATTTAGTCTACACAGCAAATCAAAGCATAGGTGTGCTGCTGGGGCGTTGCAAGGGGAGCTGGGTCTTGCAAAAGGTTTCTCCCCTTCCTGAGATGGTGGGAACTCAGGGTTCCTGAATCATGGAGTGGGCAAGATGTGGGAAAGAGGAAGGTTCCACAGAGGCTGTACAGACCCCCAGGCATGGATCTAGAAAGATCCTGTTTCAGATTTCTGCTCCACCTCTTCTTAGATGTGTACCTTGAGCAGTGACTTCCCCTCTGTCAACTTCTGTCTCTTCTTACCCACCAAAATGACAGAGTTAGTATCCTTCATATGTAAAAAGTTCTAATGAATCAATAAGGAAAAAAAGTCTCACCCCTAACAGAGAGAGGGGGGAGCAAAGGCAAAGGATATAAGGGGAAATTTGTAAAGAAAGAAAATCAAGAAACACAAAAAACTAGTCAGCCTTACTGGGAATCAAAGAAACTCATTAGGATAATGACAAGATAATATTTTTCACTTATCAGATTGACAGGATCAAAGCAATGATAATAATGTTGGCAAAGATGTGGTGAAACAGGTACACCTCCCTGCTGGTGGGAGCGTCAGTTGGTACAGCCTTCCTAAAAGGTCATGCAGTAGTATGTGGCAAAACCATCTGTGCCAATCTTTGACCCACCTCTTCCCCTTAGAAGAATTTAGGCTAAGAGAACAATAGGTCATTGGAAAAGATGCATACCTGGGAAAATGTTCCTCATTGCCCTGTCTCTCTGTAATAGCAAGACACTGACACAAATAAAATCAACCTCGACGTCTATCAGAAGGAGAATGGTCCTACTCTCTCCTATTCCTATTTCTGCAGTCCTTCTAAAATACTATCTAATGAGTACCTACTGCGTCCCAGGCATTGAACTATACACTGAGAATTCAACAATAAGGCAGAGAAGGTCCCTTCCCTCACAGATTCCCTGACACTGACAATACAAGTTAATTGTCTGTACGTGTCCCTGGATAGACTCTGTCTACAACTTTAGGAAGTTCAAATGTTTAAGAACATCTAGAGCTTCTTCCTTAAATGCCAATGGGTGGGGGGAGGCAGGGAGAGCAGACTGATTCTTTTTTTTTAAGCTTAAATATCAAAGTACATATTTTTAGAGTTAAAAAAAAAAAAACTACTCTTCTCTTTGGCATCTCTGCCAAGCAGGATGATGGGTGATTTTATTTATTTGGGTGTGTTTATTTTTGTTGTTTTTGTTTTTTGTTTTTTGTGTTTTGTGGGGTTGTTTTTTTTTTTTTTTTTTTTGGCTTTTTATTCATCTGCGTTTTCTTGTTCTGGAGTTCTTGTCCATTTTCCAAGACGAAGAAAATTCTGGAGATGGATGCTGTTTGTTTATGGGCGCACAACGATGTGAACACATTTAATGCCATAGAATTGTACATTCAAAAATGGTTAAAATGGCAGATTTCATGGCATGTGCAGCTTACTACAATTAAAAATAAGGGGAAATTTTTTTTATAAAAAAATACTGATGCTGGCTCTCTCAACCTCAAATAAATATCCCCTCTGTTAGCCCTTTTTCTTCTCTTCTATAAACTGTTCTTCTAATATCATCTACCGCTAGAGCAGGGGTTAACAAGCATCTTCTGCAAAGGACCAGAGAGAAAATAATTTCAGCTTTTGGGGCCATCCAGTCCCTGTTGCAACAACTCTGCCATCATGGCAGGGAAGCAGCCACAGAAGATATGAAAACAAATGAGCAGGGCTGCATTCCAATAAAACTTTATTTATAAGAACAGGCAGTGGGCCACATTTTGCTGGCCTGTCACAGGGTTTGGAAGGATGACAAAGTCATGACCAGGACACAGGAAAGAGCAGAGCACTGATGGCTGTAGCATTGTATTATAAAGAGGACAACGCATGCAAATTCCTTCCTCTGAGGACTTCCTATTTGATTCCCAGATGCACCCGAGGAGTTCAGAATATCTACTACCAGGTAGTCTATGCACTTGTTTATCATTGTTGATGTTACTAATCAATCCCTGCCAACGTTGGGTGCTGTCCCAGGTACTGAGAGAACTCTTCCCCCCATCAGAAGACATCACACTCAGTTCATTCCCGTTCTCATTCTCTCTTCCTCCCTCCCTCTCCTCCTCTCCCTCTCTCCTCTCTTCCTATCCGCGCATTTTTGGAGCCCTTACCTGACACGTAAGAAACAGGTTTAGCGACCCTGAGGCTACCACGCTGGATAGACCACATAGAGAAAAGGTTAGGTGGTGGAGGAGCCCTGGTGATTCCAGGCTCGTCTTTCCAGTCCCGATGCCGCCCCAGCTTCCAATCCACCCCCACCTCACCA